AACACTGATGTCCAAGCAAGAATTGTAAGACAGTTTCTATTTATTTGGTTTAACTCAGAAAGCACTCGTTTTTTGCTGTGGCAGTATTACCTTTCGTAGGCACACCCAATCAAATGTCGCAATGCATGATGGGAGAGCTTATATTTTCATATGTGGAAATATAATGCTATATTTATTTTATATATGAAAATATAAGAATGAAATATTATTTCGCCAATAAGTTTCTATATTGCATTCTTCAATATATAGTGCAATTTTGTATTTTATAGCTTTCTTACTTTGATGACAGGATCCTTGATATTCGTAAAATGCTGGATTACACACACACGTTCCAAACCCAATGGCAGTGTTGCACACAAGATTGGCTCCGACGCATTCCGATTGATGTTTACATGATACGCCAAGACCATACCCTGAAAAGACAGAATTGCTAACATTCGATTTTAACGTAACATATTTACATTCAAACGTTCATGATTAATATCCATTATATATGACCTACTTTGGCATAGCAAGATGATTGGTATAATGAGAGCAAAACAATGAAAAAGTACAAGGTCTTTTTTCTGTCTCACAATTACTATAAGACAATCAGAATTTACAAGATACGATGTTTCAATATGTTCAAATTTTCTTTTATTTTCTTCCCAAAAGTCGTTTAGTAACACAGTGGCATTAAAAAACCCTTTATAGTTGAATCATAATGAATATCAGCCAACGTAGAAATTAACTCTCTAAATGCATTCAAACGGTATACATAGTCGTCTGTCAATATAGAAGTTAGATAGTTTCGTAAATGCCCAAAAACTGATATCTAATAGATTTTATTTATATTTATAACTTGTATGGAAGAATAAGTTTAAAAAATCTTTCCTCTTTGTTTATGCCACATTGTGTGTCACATATATTTCACTCTTGCTCGTAAAACATGGTCTCAATATTCTCTGCCTGTAAGTCTTCCAGTATGTAAACTATTATGATAAGGATTGTCTGATGTTGCTTTTAGACGTTTCCTATCATAACCTTCTTCTCGTATCTAGTTACGAGAAGGTAGGAAGTTCAGCATTCATAAGAAAAAGGTGTCACTTATGATGGTGTAGATACGGTTACATCTTTTTGTGGGGAATGCTTGGCTGCGAAGAGGTGGGATCGCTGTAAGAAATAGACATGACACTCTTCTGAGCATGGAAACGCACTTGAGAATAACCAGTCCAGTGCCTATTTTTATATCCTGGAACTGGCAATTAACAGCGCTTCATCCATGGTCAAAAGAAGTCCGTCTAAAAATCTCGCGTGGTTCTTGCGTGCTATCCAAGGACAGCTTTAACTTTATATCAAGTTTTAGTGGGGGGGTAGAGTGTGAGTGTGTGGACGGTATTTTTCCAAGTAACGACCTTTTGGATCATGTCCATAACCTTCCAGTGGTCATTCACATTGTGAACTTAATTAATTTAATTATTCCCTAGGGTGATTATCAATTACTTTGTTCCCAACATCACAACGCAATTTAAAAAGGTTTTATTGATTGAATGGTGAGATAAAACATTATTTGGCTTCTATCCGATTGTTGAACTATTGAACTGGCTTCTTAATTAGGCTTTTTCCATTACCAAGTGAAAGCTGAACAATAATAAATGCTTAATCTAAATTCATTTCAATGTCCTTATTATATTCAGGATATGAATTATTGATTGGAGCACGCTTCTCCTACACTCCAAATCAATATCAAAGCACTATCTTAAATTTGGATGTTTTTATCTTCCAATAACTAGAGATTTCAATATGTTGTACACAAATTAATATTTTCGTTTCTTTCTTTTAGAATCGATATCTTGATAAAACTACTAACATCGCATAGAAATGTTTTGCCCGTTTTTAATAACTTCTTTAGCAAAATTTTGGGATTATTTGGTATATTATAACATGTGTTCCGAGAAAAATGTAGAGCATGGCTTCGCCAGTGATGGGTTTCTGTACAGTTTTTATCGTTTGCCTCAGACGTTTAGTAAGATATGTGCTTATATTCAGTGTTCAGGGTTATTCATATGCTTTTTATTGGATAAAGTTATTTGCAAAAGTTAAATCATCAAAAATTATAATATGTAAACTATCTTCATCTCCTTTTATCCGAGAAGGAAAAGAGAATTGTACACTTGAATTAGCATATTTGAAACTTAACAATACAAGATTTCCTTGAAAAGAAGAAAAGATTTGTAAGCGTAATAAAAAAATTGTATTGATCTTTTTACAGATTACAATGCCAAACATTAAATACCAACGGCAGTTTGTTAAAATATGAATAGATATCAAAATGCTACCGTTGTCTGCTTGTCTCATAAAGTGTTGAAAATAAAAAACTAATCGGGAAAACTGGAATTTTGAAACGTAAGTATATTGTTGTCAGCAAAGGTTTTCTCTACCAAGCGATTGAAACATCCGTTTGAGACTGGCTTGAGCTGATTGTTTCCCGATTGACAAGTACCTCAAGGCAAATATCGCTGTCAACTGAAGTATTCTTAAACGACTAAATTTTACAATTCTGATCACCACGCATCATTAAAATTCAATATCACACTAGCGAGGTATTTACTAATTATTTTTCTTGAGAAATACTTTTCCAACATCGACTACCCATAACTAACAAATAATCACATAATCTATAAAAATCTAAAAACGGAGATGTCAATACAAATAGCACATTCGAAAGGTTTACAATAATATTTAGTTTTGGAGTGTGTTGTCTTTTATTTTCTCACTCACTTTGACAAGATCTGATATTGTTGTACTATGCATCTGCCTCTAATATATATATATATATATATATATATATATATATATATATATATATATATATATATATATATATATATATATATATATATATATATATATATATATATATATATACGTCGAATGTATATTTTTAGTTGACAATGATTTATGCATATGATATCCTAGAAACACAGAGTTTGGTTTTGACGAATACATGTCGTATTAAGAAAAAGTCTTTTTGTTAAGAATATTCATCCAATGAACGTCTATATTTCTTTGTTGACTTTATGAATGTCACCTTTTCAAAAGGAATGTCTTACTTGAAATGCAAGATCCCTCATGCTCATAATAACCATCGATACAACGGCAATTGGGCGGGCCAGAATCGCGGGGTGTGCACTTTGCACGTTGATCTCTGCAGGCATCAGGCTCATAACAGGTGTGTCCAACGGAATTCTCTTAAGAAAACAATATTTGAGAAAAAATTTACATTTAAGCAAAACAGATTCCATTCCTATACCATAATATATATTGTAAAGCAATTGAGTACGTTACATTATTATTATTATTATTATTATTATTATTATTATTATTATTATTATTATTATTATTATTATTATTATTATTATTATTATTATTATTATTATTATTATTATTATTTCAATTTTAAGCATTTTTCCACTGATTTAATATCGGTAGTACTCTTTACTTTTTCTATGAGATTTTGAAACTGAGTAAAGACATTTTAAAGTTTTTATAAAGCGGGTATTGTGTTATGAGTAATCGGAAAGATCGTTAATGACTTTTGGCAAGGTTGTTTTTGTTGAGGTATAATGTTAGGAACGTGCACATTCTCTTCAACATTTCGGATTGGTAATGTTTCACAAGTTACAAATTATGAAAACAATTATGCTACAACGGAAATGGTATGCATAGCGCGCAAATAAATTGACAACAAATATTTCGTTTTATGTTTTAATTACCTTGTTCCGTACTAGATAACTTTTGTATTGAAAACTAGACAAGTTTTAAGAATGGTCTATTGTTACGTTTAGGATCGTACAATAATAACGAGAATAAAGAGTGAAGACAACGAGCTTTGTATATTTTAACCAAATAATTTATTTCTCTAAAAAACAATGAAAAAAAAAATGGAAAATATGACTCACGATTTGTGACTATAACCAAATTTTAATCCTAAGAATGAAAATTACAAGTCCTATCACTAAATAGTTCTGTTAGAATCCATGTTTGAATCTCGACGACTTTCCATTATGGACGGCGATGACGTGAGATGCGGTCCTTGTACAAAATAACAATTCCTCAACTGAATCATAGTTTGTTTCCGAATTATTCCTGAATAAATTTCCACTTAATTACTTTCCCCAGAATTTATAATAGTATACTTTTTTGGTTTTCTAGAAAATAAATTATTAAATTCAAAACAAATGAATTTCAAAAACAATCTGGTTTCAACAATAATAAAACCTATCCGGCCTTCTAGGTATCAAGGTATACAACTGACTGATGAGCGCTCAGAAAGGGTTATATATTCACCCAAATTATCATCCCGCTCTTGCGAGATAGATAACGTGGTCTCCTAAGACTCGAAATACGCAATAACAAAAATACCATTCGTCACGTAAGAAGAACTCCTATGTACTATCACTCTGAAATAAATATAAAAATAAAACATTGCTTATTTAGACGAAATGACATTGTCAATAGCCAATCGTTTTCTCGTAGCGCGGACCAAGGTAAACTAAAACTATTGCAAATGTAATTCGTTTTACGTCTTAGATATAAAGAATTACTGAAAAAGAATTTCGAATTCCTGCAATAATCATGATAATAAAATGTAATGAAACAAAATTAAAATAAAAAAGAATTTTAAAACGAACACACAAGGAATTTCATTACATATTTGTAACACTGTAATGCTTTCAATCGGTCGAGAATATAACTTCGTTATTAAATTTACATGTTAATATAATGAAAAGCATTTCTAGACTGCGTATATTTATCTATTATCAATGTTTCAGTCATATCGCTGCGATTTCTGCAGTGTGGTAGTTTATAGTGATGTTTAGCATGCTGCATACATGTAGGATGAAGTCCCACCCATTCACATTATCCTGACAAAAGGCTTACCAGTCCTAACATTAACCTCTTAATGCTGGGAGCCTATCTAGGGAACTCTTAGTACCATTTGTATAAGTCTTTAGTATAGTTTGACCGGGGATTGAACCTGCAATCTCCCGCATCTGAGGCGGACGCTCTACCCACTAGGCCATCGGGGCGTCAAACGTATGGAAAACATTGTAGGTATCCTAGATAAGTTAAAGTTATGATGGCAGCAGATTCAGCCGGTATGGAAATAACAGCTCATAGTTTAAGACTAGCCCGAAAAGCAACAAGACTAAGAGCTCTTGTTTATGTTTTGTTTAACTTGACTTGGGTTTGATGCAAACGCTATTACAAAAAAGATGTTATAAGGTAAAATGTTAAACAAGATAATGTTGTAAGCTATAATAATAATAATGATAATAATAATAATAATAATAATAATAATAATAATAATAATAATAATAATAATAATAATAATAATAATAATAATAATTTATTATTATTATTATTATTATTATTATTATTATTATTATTATTATTATTATTATTATTATTATTATTATTATTATTATTCATATTATTATTATTATTCATATTATTATTATTATTATTATTATTATTATTATTATTATTATTATTATTATTATTATTATTATTAACAATAATAACAAAAAAATAAGTTTCTAGAAGAGTGGTACATCTAGATAATGTCTTACATGTATATTGGATTGAAGCCAGTCAACGAAACGATAACCAGCAACAGAGAGGCTGAACCATACAACATTTTAGAGACCTTTTTTTTTAAATCTAATGTTTCCTACAAGGGCTGAGGCTGAAGCCTACAATTTTCTAGAGACCTTGTTTTGGAAAATTAAGGGTTCCTACGAAGGTTGAAAAAAGAAGTGTGCCTGCCTTAACAATGAAAATTTCTCTAATTGACCAGAGTTTTGCTCGATTTATTCACAATCTGGTCACTACGCGTATGCCATTCAGACTCTCTGCTGCTACAAATTAAAAATCAAGGACCAAAGATTTTATCTAAACCTACACGATACCTTGATCTTGGATCATGTAAGTTTATCGTTATAAATCCAAACGGAACAGCTTGTGCTTTAGAAAAGAAATTTTTAAATTTAATCATATCCATGTCCCCTGAACACCAAATATAATAAATATTTTGTAAGGTATAATTATCTAAGCCATTAAACACAACCAAAATATTACAGTTATCTCTGATCACCTTAGATATTTGCGTATATCTCTGAGTAACATAAATCACGTCAGTATTTTTATGTCTACCTCGAGAAAATATTCTAGCTGGATTGGATTGTTCGTCCAGCATCACATCATCGTACACTACAAGATTATTTATGACTCCATCTAAGTCATCAACGGATGGAGCTTCATCAATATAGGTAATAAAATCAATGATATCATTTTTGTCCAGCAATTTCGCATTTTGATTAAAATCTAAAAGTACTTCGTAACATCGTTGACCATATACAGATGGCGCTACTAAATATAACTTATTCCACTTGAGCAATCGCATTATCAGATTAAGCAATAATTGTGTCTTACCAGATCCAGATGGGCCTATTATGATAATTCTGAATTTGGTAACGCTGGATGGTGCCTTACTGGTTCTTGTTTTCGTGTCGCAGAAAAATCAATTATATCCATATAATAATAATATGAGTTTATATTGTGTTCGATGTAGAGCAACAACCCCCTAATTTGGATTGACAACGATAACAACAAAAAATAAGAGACGCGCAATTACGGGTAAATTTACAAAATGTGGTACAAGCAAATATAAATTTATTTCCGCCTTGATGAATATCAAGGGTGGTGATATTGCTGCATCGCTAGGGAAATTGCTAGGAATTCCATGGGTAAAATAACCCGATGAGAAACATCTTCCAAAGTATAATTATTGTGGTCCTGGAACTCGTCTCGATATCAAACTCGTTAAACAAGATGAACCAAAACCTGGAGAGATTCCAATAAATAAGATCGACCAAGCCAGTTACATTCATGATGTACAAAAGTAAAGACTTGCAACAACGGCATCTCACAGATATGAAATTGATTCATGCATTAAATTCTATAACTAATAAATCTCTCAGAGAATCTCTCGCTAGCTTCCTAATAAAATCTGCCTTGAAGGTAAAATAATGATAGGGGCTGGTAATTAATCAACTGATTATTATAATGGAATCTGTTTATTATTCCCAGATATTGGAGAGGTAAAGCAGCAATTAGTAAACTTGCCGCTTCAGCAAAAGTTTCATGTGATGTTGCTGCAGCGTGCTTAGCACGACAGGCAAAATGGCAAATCTTTCTAAATCCACCTAAAAAATTTAAATACGCACATTTTGATGTCAACATTCCTATTAAAGTTCATCAAACTGCTCATCGCTGTGGATTTGTACGCAAACAATTATAAATAATTCCTAAGGATACGCAATTACCACAGAGTACACTTTTTTAAACTTGCAGACCCTCGACGTCGATTACAATCCAAACAGGTCAGCATCACATTTTCACGTGTATGGCCAAGACTATTATTAATTCTATCAACGGTAAATTGTCTTGGGTTATTACTAGAATACTGTCACAACATTATTGCATTGCAGTTTGCGCAATGATTATTTTGTCGCTTTTTAACATTATAATAAATTCAACATCGATATAAAACTCGCAATTATGTTTTTTTTGTCGCACTGTTTAGAGGTGACTAATTTTTTTTATTGATATCGACAATGTTAGTGAGTTTTTCGGTTATTACGCTTTCCATGATAACCCGTTTCAGTTGTGATATTCTTCTAACCCGAGATACTGCGAGATAAACTAAATTTGACCAATAATTACAATCATCAACAATCCAAAAAATATTATCAATGATATTTAATCCCTGCGAAGAATGAATCGTTATAGAGTACCCTAATGTTCATGGCGATTTATCCATATTTAACGCGCTATCGACAATATCAACAACGACAAGGACAATACCATTAACACAAGATGTGTCCGGACACTTTCAATGTGTCGCTACTAGGAATCTCAACATCAATATTTTGTTGTCTAGTATCTGTCGGGCGATAACACAACGGTACAGGTAACGTTGGGAATTATTCCTTTCCAGTTCATCACGAACTATTTTTCTGCTGGCAACTATCTAATCAGCAGGTTTCTATAAGGTCCAAAAATCATTCATGGATGTTTCTGAAATTACCCAAAGTATTACTTTCCATTGTATTTTATTTGGTTGTAGTCGTATTAAGCTTTTAAATTCTTTCAGCGACTCATCAACAGATCTATGATCATCAAATATTTCTTCGTAATAATCTACATTATTCTTCAGCCATTCATGTGGAGACTGCCCAACAAAGGGTGGCGGTTGACCATGATCGCCAAACATAATCACAGCAGTATTCTTTAGCAACAACCAATCAAAAAATATTTGTAATACCTCCAGAGACACCATGTGTATCTCGTCCCATATCATAATTTTAGGTATATGTTTTTCACTCATTTGTGATGTGGTCCATGTATCTTCGCACTATCTAAAGAAACTATGATATGTACACAATTTTACATCTCGTTGCTTTATTTCCCTGGCGAGTATGTGCGTTGGTGTTAAAACAATCATAAATAATAATCATAAACTCATGAATAAGTTAATCGCGCGTGTTGTTTTACCTGAACCTCCACACGCATTAAGATAAACGATCTTATGTCTAGACACAGGATCATACACGGATGACGCAAAAGATTTTGATACTTGGTTATGGGTAATGTTTTCTGTAATATATCACCGCAATTTCCACATCGGCAGATTCACAATAACTAAGTATATTTTCTTGTTTTATCCTCCACGTTCCCCATTCACCATTACTGTTTTAATAAATCTTTATATTTTTGTGTACATAAAATGAATCTGCTGAGCCTCTAACAGCGTAACGAGTAAATTTGTTTATCAGCGATAATAGATTTATCAAAACATAAGCTAGCATCGAAGATCTTAAATGACTAAACTGATGTGACTCGCCATCAGAATAGCTCTCAATGGTACCAAGTTTTGCTAGGTCTGATAAATAAGCATTACATTGGCTTATAAATGTGTTTTTCTCCATCGTATCAGCGATTATGAAATCGAGTTCAGCATCGTCCATAATCAATCTTATACAAGTTCTTTTATGATCATGTGATCCTCCTTGTGTTAACTTACCGATTATTTTTCTGCCGAGATCATTTGCAAATTTCTCATCGTATTTAGCATCAAATACATCAGGTTCTGGCAAACAAACTTGTTTCTGCACGCGATATGATATAATTGCTTCAGTTACTTTCAACGATATTAAAACTCCAACATCAAGCATATACATTTGCAGAACTATCGAACCCAAACTCTTTTTCTGAAAAATGTTTTCAAAATCAAACAATAAGTAATAGCATGAAGACATTCTCTAAACTTGAATGATTCTAAATGAGCAAATCCTGTGGGGTCAAAATCTGGTAAGGGTCCATTTATCAAAACTGGTCATGTCATGTGTAGGATGTCCAAATCTCATAAAGTATTTAGAACACTCTCCATATTCAAGAAAACTTCCAGGTTAAAACGCTACCAAATCAACTGAAATGACGTCGTTGTAATTATATTTAGTGTCCGTATTAGTATATTTAGAGTCCGTATTCGATACAACTCCTCACGACATCTACAAGAAACACGAGATTTTTTTTTCCTGAGCGAAATGAGCAGCAACCGATGGTACGGTAAAACAATTACTTAGTAATTGTCTAACTTTGACATCGTCAGAAGTATATTTCAACGCAAGTTTTTCCATTTCCTCGTGGAGAGATTCTGTACGATAAATATCACCGTTAGACCGCACACACTTGTCATAATAATCACATTCCGAACTCTGAAACATCAATAGAGAAACAGGGTCACATTTACTAATATTACCGATGGCATGGAATACATCACCGTGGTAAAATTTAGCCATTCTTTCTCGTGGAAATACAGTTACAGCATTAGTCGATGCATGTGCGTTATGATCAATCATTGTTATAAGGTTTCCATTTTTTAAAAATATTTTTGTTTGTACAAAATCTTTCCAGTTAATGTCTTCACTGCTACTGGAAATCTTAATAACGTTTCTAGC